TACTACAAGTATGTACGTATAAGACACGGGTTTTTTTTTATCACCATAACAGAAATTCATGTATNTTAAAATGTGTAATTAGTTAATTTTCAAGTTTCAAGTCATAACAGTCAATATAACTTATTGGTTAAGATTGACTGTTTTCACAAGTCATGCGCATGCGCTAGTATATGTAATGGAAAATCATCATAAGAGAGGGGGTTATTATCTGGGAAGTTAAGACGTGACTTTTACGGAAGTTTAGACAAAAACGGGGGTTAACTTTACGGAAGTTCCACTGTATATACAAATTATACATATAGTGTATATTTCGAGATTTATCAAAATAATGGAGGATACAACTTTTAAGCGTTTTGGGTACTACTCGGGGATCGTTTTATTTCTATATTTTCTTATGTATTTTTATTCGTAGAAACTGATAAATTTCGAAATATACACTATATGTATAATTTTTTCGCAGTTATTATATTTGTATTTATTTCTATATATGAAATAAGAAACATACTTGAATAATATGTGATGTTGGTCGACTTTTTTCTAGCATAACATGAATTATATTATTAGCCAACAATGTATCTTCTGGCATAAATGCAGTATGCATTTCAAGAACCCCAATGAATTCTTTATATGTATTCACCAATAACTCATGCATCATATTCATTTGCACATAATCGATCAGACGAAGGAAGCTAAATGAATAAATAAATAATCATTTTTTTTTCATAAAATGCAAACTGAAGCTAATTTTTAATTTTCTTTTTTACTGAAGTATTAAATTATATTAAGAGGATGCTGAAAGGTCGGAATTACCGACACATTACAATTTAGTAAATTTTTCCGAATTGACTGAATGAAATTGAAAATTCTTTCACAGAATTGAAATAGACATAAAATTGTGGTGTAAGACGGTCGAATTTGTAATAAAATCGGAAAATAATTAAAAAACAGCTACCACCTGACTTAAACATTTCATTAGTGTAAAAGTTCTGTAGATCATATGTACAAAAAGCTTACGTCTCATACCATAGATTACATGAACGAATAATATAAAGCCTTTTGAACTACAATAATATAAAGCCTTTTGAACTACAATTCGTAGCTCAAACGAACGAAAACGTAGAAAAAAAGATATCCACTAAACTGTAATTTATGGTAATTCGTACGTTTAATTAAAATACAGAATGGTAAAGACAGCAAAAATTGCGTTTAGCAGTAAATGCCAGATTTTGCAAGATGGCGTTTCAATAAATTAAATAAGGACAATGCACGTGTTTGAGTAAGACACGAGATATTGTAAGAAATTTATTTAAGAGGTACCATTGACATTGAAGAATCTATTTTATCGACCTCGTGCAAATTTTTCCGATCTTTCAGCATCCTTAAGAGGCTGCTGAAGTCTTGTTTTATCAACTGAAAGTTCGACCAAATTTGCATGAGATCGAAAACAGAAGCGTCTCTTAACTTATTTTCTAACTTCTTACAATATCTCCTGTCTTATTCAAACACGTGCAATGTCCTTATCTAACTTATTGAAACGTCATCTCTTGGAAAATCTGACACTTACTACCAGACGCAATTTTTGCTGTCTTTATCTTCGTCGAGCGTACGAATTACTACAAATTGCATTCTAATGGATATCTGTTTTTTTAACGCTTTCAATTGTAGCTCAAAAGGTCTTGTATTATTTGTGCAAGTAATCCAATGCGCGCTACTTATTTTGTACATATGAGCTACAGAACTTTTGTATCAATAAAATATTTTCGTCAGATGACAGGTTATGATAGGTAATTTTTTAATAATTTTTTTGTTTTTACTACAAATTTATAGCTAGTGCGCTTACATTTTATGTCTATTTCAATTCTGTAAAAGCGTTTTCACATCCGTTTAGTCGTTTCGGAGTTATCCATTAGAATGCAAATGTCGGTATTCAGCATCATCTTAACATTAAAGAAAAATCGAAAACAAAGTAAACTTATTGTTAAGTTAAATTCTGTTCAAACACAAAACATCAAATTTTAATAAAATTCACGAATTAAAAAACACTTTTTGTTATATATTTTATTTTGTTTTTTGTACGGTTACAGGTTTATTTTTATCTACGATGTTCAAAAATTATCTTTTACATTATTTATAAATATAAATGATAACGATAATGGAGCTGTTGAGCCAAGCTGGGTGTAACGTGCTAACAATCTTGAACTGTGAAGCTACTTAAACGTACAATTTATAACAGACATTTCGATCCTTTTACATAGCAATCATCCTCAGTGGACATATAACGTATTAAATAACCAACCTTATGTAAACGCATTACGCTCGCAATGTATAAAAGTCCGATGTTTTACAATTCTTGTCTTGATTTCTAGACACGGACTAAGGATGATGTTTTTGGAAAGCATCATCCTTAGTCCATGATTTACAAAAAGGTGTATGTTAAAATATCCAGAAATAATGTAACTGTAAGAGAAGAGCACACAATAGTAACAATCAAGAACGAGAATAAATGAATAACTGCATAAATAAATAATAAATAAATAAAATCGTATAAAAATTAAATTAAATTAAATTATAAGTTATGAAAAGTTATCTTGATAAAATGTGTAAACAAGAATGTAAAATTCTCAAAAAGTTGAACATAGTTATTTTTCTAAAAGTGTGTATAATAGAAAGAAAATGCTATTAAGTAACAATAAAAAAACGTCAAAAATAAAATTAAAAAAATTTACATTATTAAAAACATTCATATTCTCCAATCGTTACTGACATGTGCACGTTTTAAGAAGGAAAAGCGTAATGATGGGAGAGCGACTAGTAGAGACATTTTATTTACAAAAGTAATAGGTATAAGTATCAAAAGATTTTTTTGCAATATTGAAATAAAATATAAAATACAATTAAGAATTTCATATAATAACTTTTTTTTTTTTACAAGCTAAAAATTGAATCATACGAAAAGTATAAATATTTATATAAATTTTAAAAATATTTGAAAAATATACTTACAAAATTGATTGTAGTGATTAATACGTTGATACAGTGATACAGTGATGTTACTAGTACACGATATTATTAATACCACACAATATTATAATATCACGGTGCACTGATTCTAACATTCGCATAGCGACAGCATTTTAAATTGCCGCTTATTGCGTACTAACTCTACTGAAACATAAATATTTTCGTGATATTATATGCGATTATATGCAAACTGTTCCCGAAATAAGTTGAGTACACCGATTTGACTTGATCCTACGACAAATTTTACTTCGTAAGCGTTGTCTAGCCGTGCGCGATAAAAACGATTCATACTTATACAGAGTAGAATATTGCGGAAAATAGATTTATTTTCAACGTTGCCTTCTATTAAATGCAAAAATGCGAGCAGAACATGCTGCGTGAAGAATTGAGCACAGCGCAGACTACAGATGGTGTGCGTATAGAGGCGTTTGTAATTATTTTTCGAAAATGATTCGGAAAATAACTTTATCACACATGATTGAATTTGTCTTA